GGACATGAATAGGAACTCAGAGCAAACATACTCCTTGAGGAGCATAGGTGATGGCCACCATCTTGGCCAGCACCCTGGGGACTGAACTGGGGATCTCCAGAGGTAACAATAGTGAGTCTGTATAGCTTGCGTTAAAGAGCCAGACTCTCAAACTGAGTGCTGTAACAGATTCACCTCTCCTGTTGATTGGGCTTAGAGTAGGACACAAACCACACACTGACCTATGAGTTACACATAGGATGAGGTTCACCTTGGAAAAGCATGAAACACTGTTAGAAAGACAGGAACAATATCAGTAAGAGGACAAAGAATGAATGCAGGAATATCTAATGACCAAGAGGGAGAAACCTAGGAAGCACAGAGAATTCCCATGGAGCAGCATAATGACTATTTAAAAAATAGTTAACAAGAGCATTAACACAGCAACTGGCCCTTGCATCAACTCTTTGTACCCAAAACCATGCTCTCAATAATCTAGATAATTCGTCATATTAGCCTGCCCTTTATTTTCCTGCTCCCTCCCAAACTTTCCCCAGGCATTCACCTTCATCACCAGAAAAAAGGGAAGAAGAAATATTTATTCTACTTTTAATTCTTTTTGGAACAAATGGCTAGCCAAAATTCAGGGTTGAGTGGGTTATTAGAAGGAGAAATTAAAGTTGGATTCAGGTATTTCTTTGATGCAATCCATTTTCTTTACAAAGAATGTAAAGCTGCCGTTTCCCTGAACACAGCAGGAATCAATGTATTTGCTCACTGCACCAAGCCCCACGTTAGCCAGCACTTAGCTCAAATGCTCACTCTCTCTATACTTTTGCTCAGGACCACATTCCAAGTGTTTGTTCTGGCTGTATCTTTGGCTTTCTGATGCTTCTCTGGTGTTTCTCTTTTTCTGCTTCTCTCTCATACACAGCCACATCGCTCCAAGCCAATCAATCCCCTGCTCCGGAGTTTATTAGATCACAGAGGAACCCCACTGGGCTGTATAGTTCAGCTTCTACTCCAGCCTTGCATGTGGCTTTGTTTTGGGTGGAGGTCCCTATTATTTCAGCTATCTGGTTCCATAAAGAAACTTAATTGTTTCTTACATTTGTCAGGAATGAGGAGTTATTCTTACATCCACCAGTTTCAAAGAGGTTTAACCCAATCTATAACAATAACATTGCCGTTGTCCAAAGGATTTTTATGGTGTCTACAGCCAGCCTGCTAGAGTGTTAAAGTATATAACAAAGCATGTTTTTAACGAAAGTGTCCGTGTACTTTGCACATCAAAATGCACAATGCAGAAAGCAGATATGATAATGACAACCTTAATTGCTGAACAGTCACCGCAGGTCCAGAGCCATTTCCAGCTCATATTCAGTCTCTGAAAAACACGATCCTGGACCTGCTTGGTGTATAGATGAAGAATCATCTCCCCAGGTTTGAGTAGTCAAGACAAGACTTCACAAGCCATGGCACTAGTGAGTATGCAGGGCCACTAATGTCACTGTTGTTCAGTGGGAAGAGAGTTCAACATCATCCACTATTGAAAAGTCCAGAATTTTTGGAAATCCGGATATCATCCATTTTGCCTGGTTGCCCTATGTACATATCCATGAACCTCCTGGCACTGGTACCAAAGGAGTTATAGGACTTTGGGGAGCTTCACAGGGAATTCTGGGACTCTGACCTCTTCTCTCATAATTTCCAACTTCCTGAGAATTCCAGAAGACTTTTCAAAATCTCCTAGAAACCACTACTTCTGGGAGCTGTGCCAGGAATTGTGGGATAAGCGCTCAAAGAAATATTACTGCAATGCTGTACAAGAGCACTTGTGTACATGGGGGGAGTGGCAAAATTCCAGTGGTCCATCAGTGAGGGTGCAATGCCCTGTTGGTGCTTAGCAATGGTTCACATCTCTAGTGAAGGCACAGCAGGGGAGACAGAGTCACCTTCAAGTCTTGTCTACAGTGCACATATTCCACTGTGCTGACGTAGTTTCTGAAACAATGCTCAAATTTGTTTATCCTTGCCTATACTGCAGCTAAACTGATTTCAACACTGCACCTGTCCTTGACAATCATTGTCAATAATGCATCATTTGTGTTGTAAACAAGCCCTAGACATCATGCTCCACCAAGATTTTACTGTAGATGGAAACCTTGCAAAAAGAGTGCTAGAAACCAGAGCCTGATTGTCCCTTCTTTACAGTAATGTAAATCCATTTACTTCAATGGAGTTCTCCTACAGGTGTAAGTCAGGACAATCAGGCCTCAGTCCACAAAAACTAAATGAGCTGAAAGTTGTTTGGCTCCATCTATGCTAGCAGCCAAAATGTTTTTTTCAGCTCTAGTTGAAGGAAGTGCAAGGGGCAAACTATTGTTAACAATCATTGTTAGCAATAGGACTGCTTCCTAGTTCAGACAGACCCTTGCAACTGCCAGTTTTTGGAGGCCATTCATGTGGAAAATCCATGTTTGAGAGTTTACGATACTTTTTACCAAGGCTTCAAATGATCACTAGATTTGGGGAAGATTTCAATGCAGGCCTCCCACATATCTGTGCTCCTGATCTCCAGATGTGTCCATGATAGCAGGATCTCCACTTCAGCCCTCTGGGAGTTAATAACCTGATTGTCTGCTTCTCCTCTTTTGTCCTTAAAGTCCAAAAGGGCATAAACTAGTATGTGAGACCCAGCAACCAATGCGGGTACATACCTTACATTTTCATAGAGCTCATAAAAGTTTTACGTATGGGCCATGGTGCTTCTGGGCTGGACCTGGACAGGGATCAGGGGCCTTTCTGCAGGGCAGGGAGAGAGAGAATAAAATTCTCACTGAGAAAGGAGAGAACGTTTATTAGTAGAGGGAGGTGGGCCAGAAACACAGACACAAGCACACCCACACGACACACCCCGCCCTTTCCCCCAGCTAGCTTCCTGCTCTGCTAGGACAGAACAGCAAGGGAAAGAAGGGGGAGGAGAAGAGAGGAGCGAGAAGGAGCACAGAAGAGAGGAGGGAAAAAGGAGAAAATAGACGACCACACAGAAGTGAAACTTTGGAGTCAGTGCTTGGAAAAAGGAGGCCAGGCTACTGTAACAAGGTCTCCCTGTGGTCTGCTACCTTCCCATATTCACTGCTCACCAGGATATAAAGAGCTCTCTTGAGAGTGTGAAAGGAGTCAAGGGAAGAGAAGGAAGAGCTTTTGGTAGTGTCTCTTCCTCAGGTCAGGGAAAGGAAGGCAAGAAATAGATTCTAAAGAGGCTTACAGATAGTTCCTTGGGATGAAGAGAGAAGGCAAGAGGACATGGCTGGTACTGGCTCCAGAAGGCTTTTTCTGGTGAGTGCATGCTGAAAGTGATGACACAAAGGCTGCTGCAAGGGACTGTCTTGATGGAGGCAGCTGGAGAATGTGTGTCTGTGTGACTGCTGCGTGTATCAACGTGTATGAATGTGCATATGTGCTTGCAGGAGTGCAGATGTGCATAGGTATAACTGTACGCATACCACGCTGTGTATTTGTCTATGGGGGGAGGGAGGTGTGTAAAACAGAGTGAGAGACTGCACACGTAAGTAGGTTCACAGGATTAGCCCCACTGGAACAGTGCATACACTAGGTGCTTCAGAGAAAGGCAAATGTTATGAGGATATTCCCTGATGTCTTGAAACATAAGATTTGATTAGCCCTAGTCTGGTTTGTATAATTACAACTATTAATGCTCATTAATATCATCCATCTCTTTTTTTTAAATCTAGCCATGGCATTTGACACAAAGTGTGTATGAACATTTGTTTATGAGTGTGCCTATCTAAGTGAGAATACTTGAGAGTGTGCTTGGAGTAGATGTGTTTGTCTGCCTATATTATGGTGTGTCTATGGTATGTCTGGGTACATGCATGAACGTGTCCATGTGTGTGCCTGTTTGTGAATGTGTACATGCCTGTGTGGGTGTACTCACCTGCATGTGAATACATGTATATGCAAGTGTATGCCTATGAGTGTATGTATGCAACTGTGTTTTTATCTGTGGTTTGTATGTGTGTGTGTTCGAAGGTGTGTGAATCTGTATAATCTATGTGAATGCAAGAGTAAGCATTAAATAAAGAGAAATCTGATTTTGATTACAAAACCAAAAAAACATCCTGTGATAGGTTCAGGCAAATGGCCAGCGTTGGGGTCTGTATGCCTATCACTTCTCTCCCTCTCTGTGTCACTATTTCTGTCTTTTTCCTATTCCCAGACGAGGGCCAGGGAGAAAGGGACAGAGATTTCCTAGGTATGCAGCATTCAGTCTCAGGCTCTGCACTAGCAACATGGGAGGCAAGGGCCCTCTCTCTGTAGAATGTTCCTGGAACTCTCCAGTGTTTGCTAATTAAGTCTGCGGTGATCTTAGATGGGGAGAGTGGCCTTAGACCAGGACATCCTGGCAGGGGAGTGCTGCAGAAGCAGTGTTCAATACAGCATTGACTTCACATAAGGAGAGCATTCCCTAGCCTGGGATGAGCTTGTGGCTGGCCTATGGGAACAATGTTCACTAACAGCATAAAGCAAGGAGAGGGCTCCTTCAGGTGTTTCCCTAGGATTGGCCAATTGTTAAAGTAGACTTGTGCTAGTGTCAGACGATAGAGGGCATCCTTGCACTATAATTTCGCTGTGCTGTAAATATTGACTCTGAGGTTTGCCTGCTCTATTCTCATGAGTTTTCCCACTAAGTGGGGGAAAGGAGGGGACAAGTCCTTACTTCTGGTCTTTGCCTCAGCACCAAACAGAGGTCCCTGGTATTCGTGACATACAGGCTACAACAGAGTGATAATCACTGTCTCCTGCAGCAAAGAAAAGATGACCCAGGAGTCAACTGGGGGGCGTGGGGAGAACTGGGGTACTTGGAACATGGAGGTGGGCAGGAGCCATCCAACAGGAAGGAATTTGGAGGGGTCACAGTGTATTTAAAATAAATACCAAGATTTGTGCTGAGTTTTGCCTATGTGCTGGAATCAAAGTGGAGTCTGGTCACAGCCATGGGGTATGTGTAGAGCCCTGAAAATCTGCGGATATCCACTTTATATCTGCAGATATCCGCATCTGTGGATGTGGATATCCACAGACCATTTTTTGCAGATTACTGATCAGATGTGGATACAAATTATGTAGTCACACAGGGCTCTAGGTATATGGCTGCATATTGCACATTATCTGACAACAGATGCTTATGCTCAGGCAGCTCATATGCCTGTGTTCAAGGATTCAAGTGTGTACTTGAATGTGGAATGCCACATTCCATTATCTTTTGTTACTTTGTTGTGTTTGCATGTCCATTTGTTGTATATATGCCCTCATAGGAGAGTATTTGCATGTGTACATTTGTCCACACTAATTTCCTCATATTTGTGCATGTGTATGTTGCCCTCTAGGCATGTTTGCACATGTGTCTCCTACATTTGGTGTATATTTGGATAAGCATGTCCTCATGGTGATGTGTATTGATGTTGGCTTGTATTGATGTTGGCATGTATTGATATATGTGTCCCTGTGTTGTGCATGTTCTTGTGGTGGCATGTATTTGTGTGTGTGCTCTCATGTTGGTGTGTCCTTGTCTTGGCATGTATTTGCACAGGCATGCACCCATGTTGACATGTTTTGTGGTCTCATGTTTCATGTTCAAAACCCCTCCATATCTTCCACAGATCTCTGTTTCCCCAGCTGCCCAGCCTTCTCCCATTGCCTGCCATCACCATCCATATCACCATGTGGGTAGAGTCACATTGGAGAGGCATCCGCCAAGCTTTGTTGTTTGTCTTCACCGCCACACTTCTCATTGGGGTCACCATGCTGGCTATCTCCTCTAACATCAACCCAGTGGGATTCTTCTTCCTGGGGGTGGGAGGCGTGTGCCTGATTGGCTACCTGCTGAGTATGTTTGTGGAATGCTTCCTAAAGCATCGGCACCCACAGGATACAAATCAGGCAGCCACAAGGAGACAGAGCCAGGCAGGGTAAGCAACTATATCTATTACTTCCCTTTATTTACCCCTTCCTTCAGCCACAACCATTTTAATCTTTCCCTTTCATCATCCTTCTGCTACCCTTCTCCCAAGAGGCAAAACTCAAAGTCCATTCCAGGAGGCACAGTAATCTCTTCTCCTCCCATATGGAGGTTCCCGAAGTCACAGAATTTTAGAAATGTAGGGTTGGAAGGGTCCTCTAGAGCAGTTCTCAATTTTTTTGATACCAGGTACTGGTTTGCTGCCTTCCTAAACTGTGTCAGGGAGATCTCAGGGACTGGCGCTGGTCCATGGACCAGTTGTTGAGAAACACTGCTTTAGAGGTCATCTGGTCCATCCTCCTGTGTTAATACAGGGCTAAGTATACTGTACAACACAGAAATCACATTCATGGTATTCCCTTCACTGACTCAGAGCCCATTTCAGAGGCCACATAGATCCAGCTCAGTTTTCTCTGCCCCTGAGTAATCACATCTTACCCCAATCTTCCCTGCAACTCTTTCCTGAATGCTAGCATCACTAATGAGCCAGAACAGAACTATTGTCTTGCAACAAAATGAGCCATACAAGGAAGAAGATAGAAATAGCTGGGGAAATGCTATGGTGAATCTCAGCTGGGTTTGTGCTGCTCTCTTCTCCAAACCTCATCTCCAGGGCAATTATTCCCTAGAAAAGTGGTCTCTAATTTTTGGTGCCTCTGTGTTTTGACTGTCCAACTTGAGACACATAGGGACTGAATTTGAGAGGCGTTGAACACCCACAACTTCTATTGGCTTCAATTACAGTTGTAGGTGCTCAGCACTTACATAAATTAGACCCAAATTGTCTATAATTAGGCACCTTAAAATAGAGACCACACTGGGCCTTAACTTCTCTGTATCTCAGTTTCCCTATCTGTAAAACAGAGATAATAAGAAGTTATCCATCTTGGCAAAATGCTTTCAGATCCTCAGATGCTGTATAAGAGGAAAAGATTATTTATTATTATAAAGGCAACATTAAAGACTGATTTTAAAAAAATTCAGATATTGTTCATTGCTGCTGGGTATTCTGGAGGCAAATAGCTCATGAGAGTTAAAGATTAAATATTATTAGGAAGAACTGCATCTACAATGTTGTTACCTAGGATAAAAATGACAAGGGTTGTCAGTTCTCCTGACAAATACCCCTATTAACTCAACGTGGAATAGAAAGTCCCTTTTATTATTTAAACTAAAATACAGCATTTCTTATTTTCCTCCCTCTTTGTCTTCAAAAACCCCACCATTGCCAGTCTGATATAGTACAATAGAGCTAAAAGGTGCAGTGTTTTTTTCTCCCAAAATAAACCCTATTAATTGATTTAAATGTTGGTAAATCTGCTATGTCTGCTAAGCTGAGCACCAGTTGGTGGGTCAGGAGGACACCAGACTAGATAGACAGGTGGTATGAGCCATTGTGGCAAGTGTTGAACTACCAGACTAAATGAACCATTGTTTGGATCCTGCACAACAGGAGGTGTGATATTGAATTATATGGACCAGTGTTCTAATTTAGAGTGGCAGGACATGGCATACAGGACCATATGGACGAATGATCTGAGCACTGCTGACCTGTTCTATTGTCTGTTGCATGGCCCTCATTCTGGAGGACTCAGATCCCCTCCCTCATGGGTTTATCTCTGTGTAGAGTATAAACATCACGATGACCTATTTAGTCAATATCCCTATCTTTTGTGTGTAGGGTGAATGCTGCCTACGAAGCACCAGCCTATGAGGAGGTGGTGACAATGACACCAGCCCCAACAGTCTGGACGATCACCTCCAATTCAGGCACAGTGCCCTCAACAGTGGGGGAGCCCCCACCATACAGTGTGGTCATTGAGCCGCCCCATATGGCAGAAATTGGGGCAGAGACCTTCAGCGTCTCAGTGGCATCAGGCATCAGGCGCGCCTCTGAGGCAGATGCAGGCTCCAGGCTGCACCTTAGGTTGGTGCTGCCCCCCAGGATGCAGCGCTTTGTCTCAGATATCCATGACGTCAAAGGTGCTAAAGAGAGGCTGGAGCGGCTGGAGCCACTCACTCCACCACCTGCTTATGAGAGTCCCACTGATGATGATGTCTTTGCAGAAGCTTTCCAACCCTCAAGACAATGATTAAATAGACAGTCTGCTTATTATGGATGAGGCACAAAACCCATCTAGTGCCACCACAAACTGGAGAAAGGAGCTCAGTGCTGCAGGCCATGTCATGGGAGCACCAAGGGGTCCACAATAGAGGATGTGGGGCAAAGATAGAACACTGAGCCCAGGGCTGTAGTCTGGAAGTGTGAAGAGGACAGTGCACAAAAGACCCCTGCTCCTACACACAGTACACTCTACCTCTCCACCCACACTGCTCATTCTCTCCTTACACCCCTACATACACTACTCACTACCCGCTCCAACACCACCTGCTATTTCCTACACATATACACACACTATCCATTACCTCCCTACATGGACAAACTACCTACTATCCCCTTCATGAACACACACGGACTCGCTCTCTCATACACACACTCACATTATCTGCTACGCCCTGCACAAACAAACACTCTTAATACTTCCAACACACATATGGACTATGTACTTCTCCCTGTCCACATGAATGTCCACCCACTTACCTATTATCCTCACACACATTTGCCAGTGTCCTGAATCATTCCTTAGATTTCATGCCGTCTTGGCATCTTCCTCAGAAACGAAGTTTTGGGTTTTTCCAGAAACAATACAATAACTGATGGGCTATGAGTTAGAAACTATCCCTTAAAGTGGGTTGTTCAGAAACAGGACAGTCTTAGATGAGAAATAGAAATGAGTGACTACTCACCAGCAGGTACCAAAGACATTCACAACTTGTTAGAGACAGCCCTACATTTTATAGGGTCCTACATTACTTAACAAGTGTGAGGCCCCATCCAACTCCTTCTGCATGCCCACAAAGTCCCTGTCTGTCTGCATCCCCTTCTGAAAAGCTATTTATGGGGCCCCACAGATTTTTTTTTGCCTTCTCTCCATGGAGCCAAAAGGTGGAGAAGAAACAACTGTCTTAGAGGAAGCCGGGAGAAGGAATGAAGGGAGTTAACTGTCTGCCATGAACTGCTGGGACCAGAATCAGATGGGTCTGTGCACGTGGAACGGATTGCAAAAAGTATATTGGAGCCACTGAAGGCCAGAGCCCAGTGCAGCTGCATCAGTTGCAGGAGCCCAAGTTGCCCTGCATCCTTGGAGAATAACCAAAATCTAGGTTCCAGCTTACTACAGTTTTGCATTTATATATTTTTTTAAACTTTTATTTTTTAGTGCTGTTGATTTATGGTTTTTTAAAAATACAATTAAGTGTGTTTCAGCCAAAGCTTCACTTCCCAGTGACTTCTTATTAAATATTATTGGTATTACAGTAATGGCTACATGTTCCAACCAAGATCAGAACCTCATTGTGCTAGGCACTGATAAACAGATAGTAAAGGACAGTTGCTGTCCCAAACAGCTTACAAGACACTGGATGGGAAGAAAAAAAAGTGTGACACACCTTATATGGCAATCTTTTAGCCTTGAAATGTATTAATTCTATTTCCCATAGAGGCACTATTGCCGAGAGAGAGAGGTGTAGTACTCTTCATACTTAAAACAGCAGCAAGTCTATCTTACCACTTCTTGAACCAGACTAGAAATTCAGAAATAAAGCTTTTGATTCTACTGGAATCCTTTGCATGTTCAAAACAATACTGCAATGGTCCCTCCTGGCAGAAGTGGCATAGAGGGACATAAAGAATGAAGCAGTATGATCTAGAACAAGAATCCCAGATGCACACTGCAAAGCACAGTGGACTAAAGGAATAAACCCTGGATCAAACAATGAGGTATCAGGGCCAGCAGCAGGGGTAGGGTGACCATATGTCCAGTTTTGGCTGGGACAGTCCCTTTTTTAAGCTCTCCTGACTTTTTTGACAAAAGTGAGCACTTGTCCTGTTTGCTCTTGCTGACTTGCTCAGTTGCCAAGAGAAAATGGGGCAAATACCCACTTTTGTCAAAAAAGTAGGGTGTGGAGGAACCGTGCTAACCCCATGCAGGGAGGGAGGCAGGGCTCAGGCTGGGCTCAGGCAAGCAGCAATCTCAGGCTGTGTGGAGGGGGCGGGGAAAGAGGAGAAGCAGGGCTTGGATGAGTGGCTCAGGCCAGCCCTGCATGGGGGTCGGGGAGAGGATGGCTTGGGCTAGCCCAACACAATATCCCATTTTCCCTTTGGGAAATATGGTCACCCTAACCAGGGGTATCAAACACATTTGGAGAAAAGAACCAAATTCCATGTTTAATTCTGCTCTGTTCCAGGCTATAATTCAGGACTATATAGCCCCACAATGCACAGTGGAGGGTTTGTACAGAGATCAAGGGGAGAATATGGCCTTTATATAGTAACTAAATATTCAGTGATTATTTCCAATTTGTTCAGTGTCTTATCACATTCACCACTGGGGAAGGAAACCTGCGCCCAGTTGGACCACTGCTATCTCTGCACCTTTTGTCTCTTTCTTCCCATCCCCCTTTCTGTATTTCTCCCCACCTTCCCTGTCCCTATGAGTTCCTTTGTCCTTTCCTCTGCATTTCCTTCTCCAATGCTGCTCCCATTTCCTACCTCAGTGAGCTCCACTTTAGGGTGGCCAGAGGGCAAGTGTGAAAAAATCAGGATGGGGGTGGGGGGTAATAGCTGCCTATATAAGAAAAAGCCCCCCCAAATCAGGACTGTCCCTATAAAATCGGGACATCTGGTCATGCTACTCCACTTCCATCTTAACCCTCATCCCATACAATAAAATAATCAGGGATTAACTACTCAATGTTGACAGTGAAGTAGTATCATTAGGATGAGACCTGATTCTCCAATCAGATTAATAGGGGTCTGGGGAGTGAGCCATTGTTTCAAATTGTCTGAAGGAGACCTCACTGTATCCGATGAAATGGGTTTTAGCCCACGAAAACTTATGCCCAAATAAATTTTAGTCTCTAAGGTGCCACAAGTACTCCTGTTCTTTTTGCTGATACAGATTAACATGGCTACCACTCTGAAACCTATCACTGTATTGTTACACTCTCTTCACCATTGGAAGGTTAGCCCTATAGCCAGAAGGGCTAGAAACTTACTCTTTTTAAAAAATGACAGTTTAGATTCTGGAGAATGTGAACATGTCATGCAGGCCACAAAATCACCTAAGTTCAGCCAGATCCATCATGCAGGCAGTTTGTTTGACAGGCCTGTCCCAGAGCAAGGAGAAGAGTTCCATTTTTAATTCTGCCACTGATTCACTCCATGTTCTTGGGTAAGGACCAGTCTACTTTTAAAAAGCTGCACTGGTGCAGCTGCACTGCTGTAGCATTTTAATGAAGACACTCTGCCAATGAGAGAGCTCTCGCCCGTTGGCGTATAGTTAATCCACCTCCCCAAGAGGTGGTAGTGATGTCAGTGGGAGAAGCTCTCCTGTCAACATACCACTGTCTACATGGGGAGTTAGGTCAGTATAATTATGTCATTCGGGGTCTGAAAATCCAGACCCCCGAGTGATGTAGTCAGGAGCGGCGCCAGGGTTTCTGCCACCCTAGGCGGCAGCGCTCCTCCTCTGAGCATTCGGCGGCGGGGGTCCTTCCGCTCCGCGTCTTTGGGGCACTTCGGCGGTGGGTCCCAGAGTGAGTGAAGGACCCGCCGCTGAATTTCCGCTGAAGACCCGGAGCGGAAGGACCCTGCGTCGCCAAATTTCTGCCGAGGGCAGCAAAATGCCAACCCCCCCCAAATCCTGCCGCCCTAGGCGACCGCCTAGGGTCAGCTAGTGGAAGCACTGGCTCTGGATGTAGTTACACTGTAGTGTAGACCAGACCTCAGTCACTTCAGTTTCCCCATTTGTGAAGCTGGAATAATCATACCTAAAAGAGCGTTGTGAAGTTTAGGTGGTTAATGTTTGGAAACACTTTGACCATGCAGGGCCGACTCCAGGCACCAGCTTGTCAAGCAGGTGCTTGGGGCAGCCGCTCTGGAGAGGGGTGGCACGTCCAGGTATTCGGAGGCAATTCGGCAGACAGTCCCTCACTCCGCCTCAGAGCGAAGGACCTCCCGCCGAATTGCCGCTGCAGATCACGATTGTGGCTTTTTTTTTTGGCTGCTTGGGGCGGCCAAAACCCTGGAGCCGGCCCTGTGACCATGCAAAGCCCTATAAATGTGAATGTATTTTTAATTAATCCAGCCCTTTACCACTTAATTTAAATCAATTCATTAAACTCATTTTGGGAATAAATATTCCTTGTAATATTGTGCCTCACCTTCTCTCCACATCACTCAAGCTTGGTGGCTGACAGAGTTGTCTTGGCCAGAGAAGGAGGTGTTACTTGATCAGAGCATTTCATAGCCTGAAGTTAGAATTGAGGGGTTCTGAGAAGATTTTCCTCAAGATTTTTCACACAGCCTCACACCTGCCCATTTCCAACTAAATGGAAAGATTTCCTCAGATTCCTCCCAGAATCCTAGAGTAGTCCAGTGAGATGGTTTTTATGTGGCTACTGCCCATAGCATTTTTCCCTAGCTTTGGGCAAATTTTTTTTAAGATCCAGCAAATTTTAAAATAGGGTCGTTTGTTTGGGGGGGGGGGAGGGGGAAGGATGAAAGGGGATGAGAGAGCCTGTAGCTCAAGAAGAATGAGGAAATGAACCCAAACTTGTACCACTAACTCTCCAGGGTCCCTCAACTGACATAAGAATTTTCAAGACAATTAACATGCATGTGGATTTTAAAGCACTTGGGAAAAAAAAATCAGCTTTTTTAAACAAAAAGTTCTGCTCAACCTTAATTATGGAAGTCACTACCGATCTTTTCTCTACTCCTGCTTGGCATGATGTGGCCAGCGCACCCCCTACAGGAACACTAAAGAAAAAAAAAAAAGGAAGGATTAAAGGCAACAGCAAAACATCCTTCTTTGACCTAGCCATCCCATAATAGTTACACATACACAAACATTCCCTTCTATGGGGTATAAAGAGAAAGAAACTGAGAGTATGTGCACTTTTGTCAAAGTGTATAAAGTGCTCAGTTTTTACAGAGACAAGCATGGGATAGAGAGTATCAGAGGGGTAGCCGTGTTAGTCTGAATCTGTAAAAAGCAACAGAGGGTCCTGTGGCACCTTTAAGACTAACAGAAGTATCGGAGCATAAGCTTTCGTGGGTGAGTGCCCACTTCATCAGACGCAAGTAATGGAAATTTCCAGAGGCAGGTATAAATCAGTATGGAGATAACGAGGTTAGTTCAATC